ATATCTTTTGGTAGAGCCTGTCATCAAGTAGGTGCTTAATGGCTACCTGCAAGAGGTTTATAGGAAAAAAAAACATCCAGCATCACATATCAATTGAAGAAAATAATATAAACATGAATAAAAAATCAACAATAGAAATTCAAACATGAATTTAATTCAAAAATCAAACATTTCTTAAAATTTTGACTGAACTATATGTAATTTCTTAATATTCAATTAGCTGGTGATGTTTCAATGACAAGTTGTCATCTCATACTTTGACAGTATTTTGTTTTCAACATTTCATAGCTATTGGTTGCTAAAATTTGTTGATTGGAACTTGAAGCTCATTCGCTGACAGTCTGTTACCCTATAGGTGGAGAATAACGGACTGTTGTTGGTGAAATTGGGCCTTGTCTCGTGTCAACATTATGAACATATGCGCGAAATATTATTATAATACAGTATCTTGTGAAATAAGCAGATAGCATATAACCGCAATTTTTTCTACATGCTTCGGCCAATTCAATTCCTTCAATTTGTGGGAAACGTGCTCATACTTTTTAATTCTGTATATGAATCGAATGGATGAGTTCTGTATACGTCGAATACGATTAAGGCTGTTTTGATCTAAACATGGACTAAGTACAGGTGCACAGTATATAAATTGTGAAAGTACTAGCGTATCGCATAACATTTTCTTAGTGTCTGTTGATAAATATGATTTATGGAGATATAGTAATTTTAGCGATGCGTATGCTCCCTTATGCAGTTCGTTATGTGATCCCTAAACCTTAAATCCTGATCAATAAGTAAGCCCAGATTCTTTGTCCTACCTGTAATTTCAATGACAGTATTACTTACATCTATTTGCAAGTTTTATTCCAAAAACTGGTGAGCAGATTTAGTAGGAGTGAATGCCAGAGTAGCAACATCTTTATTAATTTGGTTATTCACTATTTTCAAGTCATCGAGAAAGAACGATATACCTGCGTGTCATCCGCATGTGCTTTAAACTTTTGTCAAAATCTTCCTTTTTATTTAATTATTGGTTGGTTTCATTTATTCTATATTTATATACTATGTTGTTTGTTCTCTTTGTACGTTGAGTGAATAAATATTATTGTTGTTATTGTTATCATTATCTAAAAAGTATAGTCGAAAGTGATTTTGTCAAAATTATCCAGTGGCTGAATAACAGAAAATCGAGCATTAATTACTTAAAACACATGTATTACCATTTTCTCCCTATTCCAGGCATCTGCCAAAAATCACAAACATCTCCTTTATCGTAAATAATCTGAAATTAGAAATTAACAGAGCATCAGATATAAAATACGTTGGACTATTCCTGGGTCCACACTTACATTGGGATGCTTATATTTCATATATTTTAAAAAAGATATGTCCCGTATAAAATTAAATAGATCAAAAACATTCTAAAAAAAGAATATCTCCATACCTTATACCATACCTTGACGGAGGCACATTAACCTACGGTAGATTGGCATGGAGTTTAAAACGATTTTGAAAACAAACCAAAATGTATATGAAATAAAACAGCTTTAACTCTTACATCATATGTTGGTTATATACAGGTTGTGTTACCGAAGATTACGCATTAGGCTAAAGAACGGCAACGCTGTCTCCTTCTCAGGTGAAGCGCCCACACTTGACCGCCGGCGCCGTCCGAGCTGCAGCAGCGTGCTCGATATCGCTTTTTAGACTTCGCACTAAGTAATGATTGAATGCACAACCTGTACATTCAAAAATTTATCAATAATGACCAACAAATTAAACATCTATAACACAACGATCATACCTTTATTTGGGTCCAAAATTATAATTTAAATTTACCTGACGATATAAAGGGTCTTGATTTTGAGAATAATTTCAAGACAAAGTTAAAGGAATGGACTTTTTCTTTGGCAAGACCAGACGTACACAAATTAATAGTAAATATAAACAACAAATAGTCCGTTGATCAGTTGTACAGAGTGGCCGATATGTAACTGACTGGTTTGTATCTTGAATATTTGTGAAATGAATTAAAATACGTACATTTTTATGTATGAAAAATAATATCAGACAAATGCCCGCCTCTAGATGCCGCTCAAACCTGAGCCCTCTTGATTACATTTTCCAACACCTTTTGGTGGGTTTCGGGAGGAACATTTTCAATCTGTAAGATTGTTTTTCAGCTACTCTACAGAATTTGGTTTGTTGGGATACACCCTATTTTCAAAAACAAAACAAAAAACATAAAAAAGTCAACAGCCGTTAAATCCGGTGGCCTTGACATCACCAAATCGAGAACTTAAACGTCCCGGAAATATTGTTCGCAAAAGATTCATTGTTTCCCTAGCTGCGTGACAAGTACGTTGGCCCAACTATTGAAATCTTAGTTTTTTTCCTATCAAACACAAATAATAAAAATGTAGCAGGGTGTTATAGGTTTAAAATATTAACAATGAATATTTTGATAATATATAGTAGAAAACACCAACTTTATCACTCCCTAATCAAATTTCCACCATAAAAATAACACATGTTGCAATTACAGCATATCAACCTATTTTCATTTCAATGCAAAATAAGGCTATAACGCATAGGTGGCTGTGAAAAATAAATGCCATGACAATTGTTTTTATCAATCACAGCTGTCAGAATACGTTTAAAATAGCTTTGGGCAGTTAAGGTTTTCAAAATGGGTACAGGAAAGGTTATTAGTGAGAAAATTCGGTTACTGATAATTAAATTTTTTAATTCGAGGAAATCAAACTCAGAAATTGCAACTTTGTTAGACTTATCGCGGTACAGTGTGAGAAATATTGTTAGAAGATATAACGTAACTGGTTCAGTTAATATTAATCCACGATATGTGAAAAGAAGTAATATCACAAATGCCGACCGAAGAGCATTAAGAAGAATAATCGCGAAAAACAGGCGTGCCAATTATTTACAATTAAGTGCTCTGTGGAGTGACGCTGTTGGAAGGAGAATTTCGAGGTCCACAACTCATAGAGACGCCCACAAACTGGGATTTAGCACTTGCAAGGTAAGTTTTCGTATAAAAAAAAAGTGAAGTAAAAACCCTAAAGTTGCACAACTTGTTTATAGGCCAAAGAAAAGCCACTATTAACTCCACTGCAAAAGAAAAATCGGCTTAGATGGGCGAAAGAACATAAACAATGGACACCTCAACAATGGTGTGCAATACAATGGAGTGATGAGGCCCGATTCGAAGTTTGTGTTGGTGACAGTCGCAGTAGAGTTATTCGCAAAAAAATTAAGCATTCCATGTTGACTGACTGAAGAGAAAAGTGAAATTTCCAGCATCCATTATGGTCTCGGTCAGTATGTCATTAATACATCAGTTCATCGCTCATTATCAGTGAATTATCGGTAAAAATCATTATTTTGGGTATTAAGCTGCAATATTGCATGACTGTCTTGTTGGCGACCTTTATGGTCACTGGGCTGTAGTTCTTGAGTTACGTGAGTTTTGTATGGCCGCAAATGCAAACCTTTTTTTAAACTAGTGCATAATGACGCGCGACGAATACTCAGTTCTTGAGAACGATGTCTGGTAGACGTCTCAGGGCGCGAACTCTCTCGATATTTTCCGGAGTACGAACAGTTCGATCACGCCCGACCTTGACAAGTCTTTAACTTCACCTGTTTGTTCAAATTTCCGCACCAACTGACGAATGGTGTTGACACTGCGCACGATATTTCGGCCGAAATCTTGTCGTAGCTTCGGAACAGTTGCCACAATTGATTCACTATTTAAGAAAGACGTTTTAGCAATGCGGACGCGTTGTGGGATCGTGTAGCGCTCCACGATGAATTGGACATGTGCTTCAAACAACTACTTCGGCGCCACCTACTGAAATGCGTGTATCAGAAATGGCACGCAATTTAAATCAGTCAGTTATACACTGGCCATACTGTATATCTCATATTTCCCTAAGATGTACTATTGCAATATAATTGGTAGATTTACAGGCAACGCCTCCTATGAGCCGTTACTTCATATTTATTAACTCGTTCTTTATATTGAGTTCTAGAAGTAAATAAATATTATTATTATTTTAGTGTATGATCGTTCTTTGAAATTACTCAGTTTCACCATATATGTCCCAAGTTCATCCATTCTTGCATATTTATCTCACAACTAGCATTTTTATATAAGGGCATAGCAAAAGTTGAAGTCTCATTATAATTGTGTATTAATTTGTTTGAAGCATAAGCATAAAGCTTCCATAGTGAACGCTCGGACGTAGAAGGAAAATCATCTTTTCTCTTTTGCTCTCTACTGATAGATTCTGATTTGATCAGTGACTTGGACATTCATCTTTTACCTTTCGCGCCACTGACAAGGATGAGGATAATTGCGAAAAATGTGGAAGTCAAGATATTCTGTTTTGTGGGTGCTATATGACATGTACATCACGTACACATTTCCGTCTACCTGTTTCTCTGGTTTTGATGGCCTTTTCACACAATATTAGTACTATGCCAAAGATGTTAAATCTTTTTAGTCTTTGAAAATCTGTCCAGTGATGGCGTAGCTATTGGCAAAAAGCGAAAACGTAAAACTCGCCCAAATTCCTTGTCTGACGTTTCAGACGCTCATGGCCATTTTTTAGCAAAACCTTTGTAGAGGTTACAAATTCGGGCTCGGAGGTTGTATACGGTCAGTATATGACAGTATATTCACATACCATAGATTTCTCCGTACGCTTGCCTTTAAAACTTGATAAAATAGAGAAATGTTTTCAACTTATCCGACTTTGGATATATGTTAAGGCCGCTCCAGACTCTCGGCGAGAAGCCCCGAGAACACCCGAGAAGCGTGAGTGTGAATGGTGTCTCGCCGTCTCGTTCTCGCGCTCGCCTGTTCTCCGATCGGTGTCGGTATTTTTGACAAGAGACAAAGGCTTTCTCGGGCGAGAAAAAGGACGCTATCCACATTCTCCGTTCTCAGTGCGACGTGCGACCAACGTTATTCTTGCGACGTTAGTGGAAGTATTTTTGTTTTATTTCGTGAACTTTTTAAAATAGAAAATGTGGGACAATGACCTAGAATTGAAGTTTATAGAGTTTTTTCAAGCAGAGCCCATACTATGGGACACAAAACACCGAAATTACAAAAACAAGAATCTAAATCACGACGCGTGGGGTAGAATTGCACAATTGATGGACGTACCAATACCAGATCTCAAGAAGAAGAAGGAATCTCTTTTTGCAAGTTATCGGAAATACAGAAAGATAGTTAAAGATTCCTACCAATCGGGTGCTGGGGAAAATGAATTATACAAACCAGTATGGTTTGCATATGAGGCTTTGGATGGATTTCTGAGTGATGGACTTACTCCGAAGATAACAATAAATACGCAATCAAGGGTAAGAACTTTTCATTTATTTCAATAAACATTTTAGTACCTATTGTACAGTAAAAATATGTAAATTGAAAAATTATAGCTTTTTCTCAATTTACATTGGAAAAATAATTTTTGAACTCATCTCGTACTTGCCTTGCGTTGGCAGCTGCTCGGCGTGCTATTGGTGGTATATTTTGAATAGCATTAGTGCTTGAATTATCTATACGCCATGTCCCAGGCTGAATAAGAGTGTCGTTATCATCGTAAACATCAACAGTGCCTTGTGGGGAATACATTTGGGATGAAGTATTGCTTTTTATTAAATAATTATGTAATAATATACAAGTCATGGTGATAACAGAAGCTTTCTCGGGGCACAGCTCAATTGGCCTTTTAAATATTCGAAACTTTGATGACAATATTCCAAATGTATTCTCTACGACTACGCGTGATCCAGATAGTTTTTTTATTAAACATGCGTTCAGGGCTATCCCTGTCATGGTTACCAGGATAAGGTTTCATGATATTCGGGTGCAGTGCAAATGCACCGTTACTCAAAAATACGTAAGGTATATCAACATTTGAACCTGGTAGTGGATGTGACGCTGGTAAATTCAAAGTGTTGCTAGAAATCATCTCCCACAACAAAGTATGTCGGAAAATTCCACCATCACTTATTTTTCCCTGACCACCAATATCAGCAAAAATAAAGTTATATTTGCTATCGACTAATGCCATGAGCACAATACTGAAACTTTTCTTGTAGTTGAAGTACTCCGAGCCTGAATTTTGTGGACACGTCAGAACAATATGTTTGCCATCTATTGCACCAATAGCTCTAGGAAATTTTGAGCTGAATCCTTTTTCGATTTCCAGCCATTCTTCAGCGGATGATGGAATCTGAAAAGGAATAAATAATTTGTTTATACTAATGCTTTTCCTTTATTTTCAGGATGAACAGCCAGGCACAAGTACAATTATTTCAGAATAGGAAATAATGAATAAACCAGGAGAAACCAAAAATGAAATAACAACACCACGAACTGGTCGTTCTCGTTCCCTTCAGTGCGAGGTAAAAGAGGCCGGAAGGCATGTGAAGGAGGCACTGAGTTTGTTTCAAGAAAGTGTTAAAAGAAGGGAGTCTCAAGAACCCCCGGATGACTGTGAAATATATGGCATGGGGTTAGCCAAGAAATTAAGAGCTTTCTCTGAAGAAGAACGACTAGAAATCATGTATGAGTTCGATGGCATAATTCTCAATCGTCGACGAACAAAGCAACCAAACAGGTTCACAAACACAGTATTTAATCCATCTTCAGAATACACTCGATCTTCATCTGCTATATCTTCCCCTTCCCCTGGTATCTCTTGCTACTCTGAACCTCTGCAACAGAAAATGGCTTCTATACAAAATGTCCGTATGACAGATTCCGCACCGCCGTAGATTCATACATCAGAAGTAGAACATACACTCCTAGTGTGTTCTAAACCACTACAAATTCAGACACCATCCGAAGAACAATATACAATTCAAATGTATTCTGAATCACCACAAGTTAATGTCTTACAAAATGCAGATGCACAAAGTAGCTCAAACATACACATTATTTCGGACGACCTATTGAGAAGTACCTATCGTTCTGATGTTATTTGTAATGCCTTTAATAATGCTTAGTTAATAAATATGTTGTTCAAAACTCACCTGTATTTCTTTTCTCAATACTTGATTCAGTGCTTTACATACTTCGGGAACAATTGTTGAAATCAATTGCGGTGACACTTTGAATAAAACATGAAGGCTTAAGCTATCTCCCGTGGCCAAGTATCTCAATGTTATAGCAAGACGCATTCGGGTTGGCACGGCTTTTGGAAGTTGTGTATCTTGTTTGCTAATTAGGGGAGAAATCTTGTTGAGCAAAAATTCAAAGTCCGTAGTTGACATTCGCGTGAACTTCTTAAATTCTCCACTTGGTTCAGCAATAAGTTCTCCCAACTGACTTTGCATGCTTAAGCTGAAATGGAAAATACATTTACTCTACTATATAATGTGTATTATGATAATTTTTAATAAAAAAATAAACCAGAATTTAAAAAATACTAAAATTCTCAAACCTTGTTCTGCTTAGATGAATTTGCGTCATCCACCAACGTCTGGGCCTTTTCTTATTTATTCTATTCCTAATGGTTATATTTACAAGGTTATAGTACGCCAACGCAGATACCATCAAAGCCGCTGCACTGTCGTCCATACCGTATAAAGACGAGGACAGAAGTGAGATTCAGTGTGAATGTGGACATAGCCGTTGTTCGCGAGAAGTCTCGGCGAATCTTCTCGCCGAGACTTCTCGCCGTGAGTCTGGAAGGCATATAACACTACATCTGTGTGTAATCCATGGTGGTTGCTGTGGTAAACCATAAAAAAGTTGCCAGATGGTCGGTACTGTCAGTAAGCCAGAGAAGAGGTATCTGGATCACAACGTTGCCAAATGGGTGTATGGGCCTGTTTAACTGACTTTATATATTCGCTTCTTTATTATACGTGTCCACAGCTTACCTTTTTCTCAGAGAACCTTTTTGAACTGATAACATCGTTGCGCGAGATGTGCGGAGTCTACCAACTTGACTACATTTTTTATTGTGGTGCACCACTGTTGATTACCCGAAACACGTGACTTCGGTTAATTACAGCATAGGGTGGACTGAAACGGGGGATGGAGGTAAGAGGGAAGTATAAAGGAGGGGAAGAGGAATGTAGTTTGTGATGGAAAGCCTTCGCTTTGAGGTGGCTGGTGAGAATGTGTCGGGAATGCGCCTCCAGTAAATTAACGGTGCTGGCGAACTTTAGCTGAATCTGCTTGATACACTGTTATGTCGGAACGCCTACGACTTTCCTCCTGACCGCGGAAACAGCCCAAACATCATTTGCATGGATATCCCGCACATTGCGAACGCTACCTGTGTAGTAATGCCTAAGCCATTGTAACCATATTTTGATAGTATGGTTTGCAACCTCATAGGAACGGATTAAATCTGTGGTTCGATGATATTTAGGTTTGAAAATAGGTGTTACAGACATACTCGTATCGTATTTATTTTGATGTAACATCCGAAACATACCCTGTGAGCTTTATGATGATAGAACTCCATGCTTCTCTGGTTTGCTATTAGATCTGTCCAACTGTTTAGCTGTAGAAAAAAAATGTTGTGGTATACCGTTTTCTTGCAAGACAGAATGGTACCCTTTAGCCGTCTAAGTATTTTCCACATGTGTGGTTTCATTTGGTTAAAAAAACATACCGTTTGTCTTTTTAGAAGTCCCTCACGCTTAACAAATAAAGTAAATAACCCACTCGTACTAGAATAATTTTATCATGTCTTCTTACATGATATTCTGCTTTTGCCGTTTTCTTCATGTTCAACTGGCTTATGTGTCACCTACAGCGGCTCCTGTAGTTAGACAGTACACTGTTGCTATTCTAGTAGGTTCCTATCTAAACCTAAAACAGACTATATTATGTTCTTGTATACCACCACGATAAAAAACTTCCCGGGATTCATTAAAAAAATAAACAATACAAGTTTATTATTCAAAATCGGTACTGTCTCCCTCAAAGTAGTCCCCACTGACTGCAATCCACTTATGCCAACGCTTGACCTAGTCCTCGATACATTTTTTAAACTCGATGTTAAGTATCTCTATTAGGGCGATCCTCAATTTTTCCATTATCCCCTCTCGGCTTCTGAAACAGGCTTCACTCAGTGATTTTTTGATTCGATTGAACAATAAAAACGGAGCCAAATCAAGTGAACTGGCTCGTTTTTGAATGGTATTGGTGTTGTTTTTGGCCAAAAACTCACGGATAATGATGGCATGGTGCGTTATCGTGATGTAAGATCCACGAGTTGTTTGCCCGCATATGCTTGCGTTCTTGGAGGATTGATTCACGCAAACATCTCAAAACATCCAAATGGTACTCCTTGTTGACAATCTGACCTGGCAAGAATTCACTATGCACCAGGCCGTAGTAATCCATGAAAACAGTGAGCATTACCTTGTTTTTCGACTGGAAACGACGCGGTTTCTTCGATCTCGGCTCATCCAGCGCCCATCATTCACTCGCCTGATAACTTGACTGCGTGTCGTCTCCAGTATTGATGCGTTTGATACATGTTGGGTCAGAATCAGCATGGAAATCATGTCTTTGGCGATATCAACAAGATCATTTTTTGCATGAAATTCATGCTTTTGGCACCAACTTGGCTGCAACACGACGGAGACCCAAATCGTTGACCAAAGTGCATTGAACGGATCCATAAGCAATGCTCATGTCCTCTGCCATCTCTCTATAGTTAATTTGCGGTTGGTGGCCAACATTTTATTCACTTTGTCTACGTTTGCCGAAGCATTTTCCTAGCATCTCCACGGTTTGCGTACCATTGATATTGTTTTTAACACAAAATTTAATGCCAACGCGTTGTTGTTCATTCAAATCCAGTTTGAAAAACCTAATAAATCGTGAACACGCTCAAAGGCACGTGTACTCAACTCGACGTAGCTTTGACAACTTGACAAAATTCGGGGGGGGAATATCAGTGAAAGTTGGCCACCATAACAAGACAAACAGAATCGACAGCCAGGTGCTTCGAGGGCCACACGGCGACCATTCCGGGAACTTTTCAATCAAGGTGGTATTCTGACTATACTTTTATTCCGAAGATATTTTTCTTTGTCCCTCGTCAACTGCCGTACTACATTTCGGTAACAACATCTCTGTGACCGAACAAATTCCCTTCAAAATCTATCAGAGAATTGCGGAGCGAAATAATTAATTTAAAGCTTGTCGAACACCATTAATACGAATTTATTTCTAAGAAACGATGAATTTTACATGGAAGGTTGTTTTTCATAATATTGCAGCTGTTTTAGACGCCATCCTTTTCAATTACAGTCGACTGAACAGCTGGCGCCATCTTAATTACGTGCTCGAAAAACGCGGCAAGCTAGGGTTACCGCCAAGAATCCAGACCTTAGTTTTGGTCTGTACTTACTGTAATTAACTTATTTTAGAGTATTTTCCTAAAGTATACATTTTAAAGACTCTGTTTCAGAACCAAGTTTTAATCAAATTTCTCCAGTACGTACAATATGTCACCGCCATTGTCACAGGTGTCAAATGGTTGTTGAAATAGTACTACTTTTATTCAGGGTGTGATCAACATTAGTACATTATACTCGTATTTAACATGCATATATTTAAGCGATTCGTTATTGTGTATCACATTTTCTGAAGTAGGATCGAACTTGAAGAAAGATAATCATCCGCTGCAACAGTCAGGTGCAAATCATGACATTAATTTCTCGCAAAGTGATTTAAGACCATTACTTACAATGTAGGGAAGTATTGATAGTCTTGCAGCGAGGCACCTGGTTCAGGCCAGAAATAAAGGTTATTCTTCGCTCATATTAAGCTTTGTGAAATATTGATTTTTTGCACCAGGGCGCGCTACAGAATTATAATTGTCATATAATATTGTACGGAAATTTAAATCTATTATGAACGAATTCAGATTGGGTATAGGGAGTCAGCCAAGGAGTTGTTTGTCTCCTTATTCCCATAATCTGTCGAGATTATCAAAGTGGGAACTTGACATAAGACAATTTCTGGACAGTTCTGTTATTAAATTCGTATTTTTAGTGTCTTATTTCAAAAGTGTGAGTGTTTGCCGATAAATGTGGTGTTAAACGATTTCAAGGCATCGTACTTAATTTGCAAAGAGGGCATAAGCCCAATGAAGATAGATATTTCCGTCGGTAAGTATCATTATTCTGTTGATACAACTTTGCCACTTTGGTAGTAGTCACTGGTAGTCAAATGAGTCAAAAGTGTGCACTAAAACTACACAATTATGGTCAGAAATAATGCAATGTAAACATATAGGCTTGGTTTCTTTTAGTCTATCCCAATTATTTGATTAAATATTATTGAGAAAACTACTAGTTACTAACTACAACATTAAAATCATCTTTCAAGACGTTCAATAGCCAATGATATTGATCAGTATGGAACAATTTCAACCAAAAATATTTTGCGAGAGAAATGTTCAATGGTAAATACAGACAGTTACGAGGCAATTCGGCATGCCTAAAACGATGACAAAGTTACAACGAAAGGCTGCAAAAATAGCGCATGACTGATCTTAAACAGTTGCCAATATT